GGGGTGCAGGGAGCAGGGACAAGGGGAAAAAATGAGAACCCAGACCTGTCACGTAAAGATACAAGATCCCAATAATGAATGTAACTGTGCTGTATATCTAAAATGTACCAATAAACTCAATGAGGGGGAAAAAAAAGAGAAAATGTAAAGATATCCCTTGTTCTTGAGTAGCAAAAAACAATATAGTGAAAATGACCATACTTCCAAAATTGTTATACAGATTTAATGCAATCCCAATCAAAATAATAATAGCATATCTCACAGAATTAGAGAAAACAATCCTAAAATTCATTTTGAACCAGAAGAGCCCAACCAAAAAGCAAATTCAGGGCATCAAAGGCAAGGTAGGGGGCATTATAATCCCTAACTTGAAATTATACTACAAAGCTACTGTTGATTAAACAAAACAAAACAAAAAAAACAGCATGGTACTGGCAAATGAACAGACCTGAGGATCAATGGAACAGATTAGAAGATGCAGAAAGAACTCCAGTCATACTCAGCCACATTATCTTTGACAAAGGAGCCAAACAACTACACTGGAAGAAAGATAGCCTCTTTAATAAATGGTGCTGGAAAAACTGGCTTTCCACATGCTGAAGATTCAAACTAGACTCATATCTCTTACCATGCGCTGACCTAAAGTCAAAATGGATCAAAGATCTAAATATTAAGACAGAAACACTAAATCTGCTAGAAGAGAGAATAGGTACAATGTTTTAGGACATATAGAGTACGTAGCCAAAGACTAAATGAACAAAACCCAGACTGCACGAGAAATACTAAAAAGAAACAGTAACTGGGACCTCATCTTATTAAAAAGCTTTTGCACAGCAAAAGAAACCATCAATACAGTGAAGAGACAATCCAGTGTGGGAAAACATTTTTGCCAGCTATTCCTCAAAGGACTACTATCTAAAATATATAAAGAACTAAAACAACAACAACAAAAAATCAGACCCTCCTAAATTTAAAGAACCAATCCAAAAATGGGCATCTGAAATGAACAGATGACGTTGAAACAGCAAATAAATATATGAAAAAACGTTCAAAATCACATCACTGGTCATCCAAGAGATGCAAAGTAAAACAACGATGAAAGGCTGGGGATTTAGCTCAGTGGTACCAGTGCCTCCCTGGCAAGTGCAAGATTCTGAGTTCAGTCCCCAGTCCGGGGTGGGAGGGCAACACTGAGATTCTATCTCACTCCAGAAAGAATGGCTGTTAGCAAGAAATCAACCAATAACAAATGCTGGAGGGGTTGTGGGAAAAAAAGGACCCCTTCTCCACTGTTGGTGGGAGTATAGACTGGTGCAACCACCATGAAAATCTGTGTGGAGATTCCTCAAAAAACTAAAACTAGAGGTTCCATCTGACCCTGCTATTCTCTTTCTTAGTATCTTCCTGAGAGAATTAAAAGTATCCTACCACAGCATATATGCACATCCATGTTTATAGCAGCACATTTTGTAATAGCTGAATCTTGGAAACAGCCCAAATGCCCATCAACTGACAAATTGTTAGGGAAGACATGTTTTTTTACACAATGAAGTACTACTCTGGCATAAAGAAGGACGAGCTTCAGATATTTTTAGTTAAAAGGATGCATCTTGAGACTATACTCTTAAGTGAGATAAATCAGACCTATGTTTTTAAACACTGCATTGTTTCTCTAGTGTGAGAAACCAAAGTGTAAATAAGGACCAAAACGTATAATAATATTGGGAAATGGAAAGAAAATTTTCAAATGTGAAGGGGACCAAGGGAGGGAGGAAGGAGAAAGGAAAGGAGGGAAAAGACAAAAAAGAGAATACAAGGGAAAAAATGGAAACAAAGCTTTTGTAAAGGAGAAGAAGAAAAAAAAGGAGAAGAGGGATGGAAGGGAGGGGAGGAGAACGGGAATTAAAGAAGAAGCAAGATGTGTCATGGACAGTATACTGCGTACAGGTGAAAATTCCCTATAATGTTATCATTAAGTATATCTAAAATGTACCAATAAAATGCCAAAAAAATGTATAAGCACACAGAGAAATGAATACAAATAAGACTAGGGAAATCTGAATAAGGTAGAAGTTTGTGTTGATGTCAATGTAGTATTATGCTATAATTTTCCAAAATGTTACCAATAAGAGAAAAGACAAAGTGGCACAAAAGATCTTTCTATATTTTATACAATGGCATATGAATCTATAATGATCTCACACATGTGTAAGAAACAAACACACACATATAAAGCCTGCTTTTAAAAACTACATATGTTTGTGTATTAATATCTAAAAGTACAGCCGGGGATGGCGCCATGCCTGTCTGGCAAATGCAAGGTACTGAGTTCAATCCCCAGTACACGGGAAAAAGAAAAACATGAAAGTAATAAAGATAAACATCAAAATACCAGTGGTTAAGTGACAATAAAACCAATGTTGGGCTGAGAATGTAGCTCAGTGGCACCACACTGCCTGGCAAGTGCGAGGTCCTGAGTTGATCCCCAGTATGGATGGGGGAAAAAAAAACCCCAAACAATGTTTTTCTTGGGTATGTATATTCCATAGCCACTGGCCTCTCTGGAGAAACTTATCACCTAAGCATGTAAATGTGACCTATATGCAAATTAACTTCTTTAGCTGACGACTACCTTTCTTTACTGTTTATCTGTGGATCCCACTCACCAGAATGTAAACCACAAAGGCTTGGGAATTTCTGTGTTTTATTCATTGATTTATCCCCAGTATGCAATCTGTCACATGCCACAAATTAGGCATACAACAGTTGTTGAATGTCTGAAGGAAGTCTACAATAGAAGAACTAAATTCAACCCCCTCCTTCAGTTTCAAGAGAAGCTCAATCTCTGGGAACAGGTTTCCAGTACCCTGGGATGGGGACTCAGATTTCAACTGCTACCTGCAGGCGGGAGCACACCCTTAGCTGTCTGACAGAACCATCTGCTGTTGTTACCTCTATCACTCTCCACCACAAAAACTTCTCCCACGCTGACATCTCAGAGGTGTCAAATAGCTGACAGACTGAAAACACAACACAGGAAGAAAACTGTAGCAACCACACAACTGTGTTTTTGACCTCCAACTAAAGTAAGAGAAAGCACAGGGGATATACATACATTTAGAGACATCAATCACTTCTGCAACATTTGCCAACCTATCATAAGATATGCTTTAAGTGAGAAACACATAGTAACATTCTAGTTGTTTCAGTTACATGTACAATGTGTGGTCCTTTAAGGATGTCATACACTGAAAACTGGTTTTGCTATAGGAATTGATAGACATTGGCTAAGGTCTTAAAATATTCAGATATTTTTATAATGTGATGTGTATTCAATTTTTCTCAGTACTGGGGATTGAACCCAGGGCCTTTGCACTGAGATACACCCCCAATCATTTTTTTAAAATTTTAAGACAGGGAGGCTGGGGATGTAGCTCAGTGGTACTGCACCTACCTGGCAAGCACAAGGCCTTGAGTTTGATCTCCAGTACTGGAAAAAAAAATTTGGGGTGGAGAATGGAGTCTTGCTAAATTACCCAGGATGGGATTGTATTTGGGATCCTGTCTTAGTCTCCCAGACTGATGGGACTACAGATGTCGCTTACCATGCCTGGATTTTTTTTTTTAAGACTAAATCATCCAATTATTTTTTCCAAATGTTCTGAAAAACCACGTCAAAAATAGTCCTAACAATGTGCTTTCTTTTCCTTTTTGCCATTTTCTTATTTTTCCTAAATTGAAGATATTACTTTTATAATGAGGAAAGTTATTTTAAATTGTATAAAAGCAACAATTGTAAAATGCTTCATAGTCTAAATCCACACACAATACATTCTAAATAGTATACCAGTGTAATTCCATCTGGCAATTGGCAGTAGGTGAAAATTCAGATGTTTCTTCTATTCTCTAGCAACAGTTTTAGAACAAAACTCTAGCAACCTCAAAAGAGGTCAACTGTTTATGGAAGGTCTCATTTGGCATATACCATCTAAATCTGAATCCAGAGGCTACCCTCAGATCTGTGTTTTCACATAATTACTAAGCTCGGCTGACAGTAACTCTTCTCAGAGAAGCTATCCATCCATTCTCTATTATAAGCCACTTTCCACCCCATTGACTCTACCTTCCTGAATTTTCTAGAAAAATTTAAATTTTCCTTATCTTGATCAAAAAACAGGTTATAAATTCATTTGTTAAAATCCATTAACTTGTATACTCAAGGTCTGGGCATTTTATTATGTAAATTATAGCTAAGAAGAATTTTCCTAGTCAGGCATGGTGGCACATGCTTGTAATCCCAGTACTTAGGAGGATAAGGCGAGATTACAAGTGTGATGGGCTATATAAGGCATTCAAGACCGCCTGGACTGCACAGCAAAAGCCTCTCTCAAAAAATATAAAATCAAAACAAAAAGAAAACTTATATATGTAATACAGTATATCAGCTATATAATATTCTATGTATTATACAAAATATAGTAGGTAATGTAAAAACACATTATTTATAAAATGGGAACACAAGTGTCTTGGATTTTTTCCCCTTGGTAACAGGGACTGAACCCCAGGTCTTCACACTGAGCTACATCTGTCCATTCAGGTCTCTTCACCCCACCAAGTGTGGATCCCAAAAGCACCCCCCAATAATACTTCTGCATGCAAATATCTCTAGCCCAGATTTAACCTCTGCCAGGTGTTTGCTCAGATCTCACCCTCTTACTCACGTTTTCTCGAATCACCCCATTTAAGAGTCTCCCACCCCTCCCCCATGTCAGCATTCTATGTCTGCTGAGTCTCCTCTCATTCACCTGCCTGCAGCTCTCTGTCAGGGCTCTTGTTCGGATGTCTGCCATGTTTCTCAAGTCGGCTGTCCTCCTACCCCTCCTCTTCACGGTATACATAGGACATCCCCAACAGAGCTCACTCCAGTGTCACTGGTAAGAATATATCACGTGCCACCACTCAACGGGGCATGGCCTGCTGTTTCACTGCTGTCTGCATTTCCTAGAGCCAGCGCTAGTGGACAGCTGGCACTTAGTATTTGTTAAGCAAGTACATTTATTGATTTATTGAGTGGCTCATCCATGCAGTGCCTCTGCTGGGAGTACAGCACAGGCCAGGAATCTGTTCCAAAGATCTATCTGGTCTTCAAAAGAGGCCTGCTGCCTGTCCCTTCCGTCTGTTCTTCACCACAGTGGCTTTTGCTATGGCAGCCTCTCTGTGACTTAGTCTATCCTAGATTGGTTAATGCACAGAGACAGATATTACTTTTTAGGAGCAACAAGTTTTGGTCTAAATAGGTTTTCTTTTTTTTTCCTGGTACCGGAGAATGAACTTGGGCCCTTGCGCTTGTGAGGCAGGCGGCAGAACCACTGAGCCAAATTCCCAGCCCCTTAATAGGTTTTCTTTTTGTCAGAGGTGTTCTAAACCATTTGTATGTTGTTTCATCTACTCCTCTTCCTAAAATGAAAAGCTCCAAACGACATAATCATATAAATGAGCTTAAACTGGGGAAGGTGCATGCCTATAATTCCAATGCTATGGGAGGCTGAGGCAGTAGGATCAACAAGTTTGAGACCAGCTGGGGCAACTCAGCAAGATCTAGTATCAAAATGAAAAATAAAAAGCTCCAGAATGTACATCAGTGGTGAAGTGCCCCTATGATCTCCTGTATCACAAAAACAAAAATTAAATGAGCCTCTTTAGGTAGAGGCTCAGGTAGTGTTTCCTCTCATCATTGGAATCCTCAGTAAAGTTCACCAAAAGCCTGCTCCATTATGAGCCAGTGAGGATAGATAGATATTTTCTGAAGCAAGTCAACTCTGTCAACCAAGAGCTGCCGTTGACACTACTGACTCCTCACCCATGCCACCTCCCATCGTCTCCTTTAAGGATCCACATCACGTAAACATTTACTTAGTGACCGCTGCAATGTGTGCAGCGTCCTGGCACCATTCTTGGCCCTGGGAGTAGAGCATGAGCCAAGACAAAGCTTCTGCCTTTTGGCAGCTAACTCTCAGTGCGGATCTCTGAGGAGTAAAAGGGTCCTCATTCTCTCCAGGACACAAGTGGCCAGCCTCAGCATGAGACTTCTGCTTGACAAATTAGGAAGAGGAAATTTGGGCTCAAGCTGGAGTCTGGGTGTGATTCTCAAGTCATTTCCTTCACATCTAGTGCAATCTTGGGGAAGTCAACTTATCTCACTCAGTTTTGGTTTCCATCAGCAAACTGTATTGCTGTAGGTATTTTCTTTCTGCTATCAGTCACAGAGAATTCATGAGTATTTCACTAACTCATAAAACAAGTCCTGAAATAAGTCAAGGTTTGTAAATTTAGCAGCTCAGAGCTAAGTACTTATTTTCTCCTCCACTATTCCTCCTCAGTGTGACCTTGTCCTCAATCACAAGCTGCCGATCTACTGAAGTCAAGGAGAAGAGAATAGTCTTTCAAGCATCTCTTTTGATTCTCCTAGAGTCCCCAGAAGAGATGCTCCTCCTCAGTCTCACTGGCTAGAATGGCCATTACTAAAGAATTTTTATCACTTTCCTACATACCAGTTTAGGGACATCAATATATATCTATAGCTTGGCCTACAGAAGAAGGCAGACACAAAACACTGGGAGCTCTATCAGTAAGGAAAAGAGCAGACAAATAACAAACAGTACCTGTGACACTCCTCTAGGTGTTGTTGCTGATCTTGGCAGGATGATAATATGTATTTGCATAAATTTTTAATTTTTTTTTTTTGGTACGGGGATCAAACACAGATCCTTGTGCTTGTGAGGCAGGCAGTGGCACCACTGAGCTAAATCCCCGGCCCACTTGCATAAAATTTTAGTTCCCAGAACTCGTTCTAGATTTGTTTCATTTGCTAGACACTTTTGAAGTGTATAAGCAAACACCCTGCTGGATGAATGGGTTAGTCTAGCCACCTCTGGGAAAAGGGAAAGGGAAAGGCAGACAGAGTATCCTCTCCCCAGTAACCCACAAGACTCAAGACTGACGCAATGGTCCTAGGCTCCCTACTAGGCCTTGGTAGTCAAGGCAGAAGATACTTAGAGGCCCCTCCCAGCTATTTAACTATGGTTCTGGTTATAAAGTGAAAATATCTTTTCAACCACTTCTCAGGTTAAAATATATGTTTAAAGCTGGACATGGTGTCCCATGCCTCTGATCCTAGCACTGGGGAAGCTGAGGCAGGAGGATCACTGTTTGAGGCCAGACTGGACTACATAGTGAGACTCTGTCTCAAAAAAGCCAAAAATGAATGAATGCATGTTTAAACCAGGCATGGTGGCACATGCCTACAATACCGGCATTCTAAAGGGCTGGGTAGGATTATCATTAAATTTGAGCCCAGGGCCAGGGATTTAGCTCAGTGGTGCAGCCACCTGCCTCACAGGCACAAGGTACTGAGTTCAATCCCTAGTTCTGAAAAAAAAAAAAAGGGAGCCCAGCCAGAGCAATGTATCAACTTAGCAAGACCATGTCTCAAAATCATAATTAAAAAAAAAACTCTCCCATATAAGACTCTGTTTAATGCCCACTACATAAAATGTTGGAGCAAATTCCATTGCCTGACTCTTTTTTTGTGTTTGTTTTTTTGAGACAGGGTCTCACTATGTAGTTGAGACTGACCTGGAGCTCACTATGTAGCCCAGGCTGGTGTCGAACTCACAGCGATCCTCCTGCCTCAGCCTCCCGAGTGCTGGGATTACAGGCATGCACCACCACGCCTGGCTCATTGCCTGACACTGAAACTTTCTGCAGCACACTCAAGAAATAAACTTAGAGAATGACTTGAACCTACAGTCATCTGCCTATAACATCTAAGTACCATTAATTCTACCCCCACCTGGTCTTTGGAGCTTCCCCACTCTGTCTCACCTGTACTACCCCTGACCTTGCCTCTCTCAGCATCTTTCACCAAAACCTGGGAATGGCCTCCTTTACTTCTCCAGGGCCTTCCTAAAACACTGATTGGTGTTTCATCCAGTTTTCTCAGAAACCTCAATGCTTTCCTCCTCCAAGCCCGGAGAAGTAAGTGAAAGCTCTACACAAGGCAGTCACAGCCTGGCCTCCTAGCCCCTTTCTCCTCCTGTCCCCATTGCGCCTTACCCTTAACATGCTCTAGTTCTCCTCCTACGTGATCTTACTCTGCTGGCCTTTGGTCCCGCCTAAGAGGGACCTCTGCAGGCTCACAATCCTTCGGTCACGGCTTGGCCCAAGGGCACCATCTACAAATCAGACTAGAAGGAGAAGAGCCCTTCCTCCCTGGGGCTATCACAGCTCAAGGCCCTTAGCTTTTGAGCCACCCCCATCCCCACCCAAGGCTATCATGGGGTATTGTACTTCCGTAGTTTTTGTTTCTGTTTGCCCTGTATTCTACAGCACAGCTGAACACTCACCTCTCCCACTTCCAGACAGCTTTCCATACACAGAAAGCCTTGCTACTTTTGGGTTCCCACAGAACAAAGATTCAAAGTTTGGTGCATAGTGAAAAAATTCATTGGCATATTAATTATCCAAAGCACAATCTCACCCAGCTTTCTTCTGAATCCTCTTCAGATATACTCTGGTCATTTTCCTAAATCAACCATCATCTTCAGGCATAGTTCATCAAGAGACATTGTGAGCCAGGCACAGTGGTACCTGCCTGCCATCCTAGCTGGCACTCATTCTAGGTTGATGAAGGAAGAGGATGGACAGTTTGAGCCCAATCTGGGGAATTTAGCAGGACTGTCTCAAACAAAACAAAACAAAACAAAACAGGGCTGAGGAAACTGCCAAAGAGAGAGAGAGATGAGAGAAGAGAGACAAGACAGAGGGAGATAGACACTAGAGAAAACTCACATTTCCTGAGTCCTTACATTTTGCAGGTAAGGCAAGTACTACTACTTGTTACATTAAACAGATCAGCACAAAGAAATGGAAAAAAAAAAAGTCATGTCAAATATTTAGTAAGGACCACAGCTTGGAGACTCCAGAACAGTACTGATTTTAAAACAAAAGGTAAAATTCTTGCCTTCCAAAAGTGAACAATCTGGCTGGGCGTGGTGGTACACGCCTGCAATCCCAGCACTCAGGAGGCTGAGGCAGGAGGATCGCTGTGAGTTCGAGACCAGTCTGGGCTACATAGTGAATTCCAGGTCAGTCTCAACTACATAGTGAGACCCTGCCTCAAAAACAAACAAACAAACAAACGTGAACAATCTGGCTAGAAGAACACTGAGAATACTGTACAGAAAAAGGCAAATAAAAGACTTTCTTATCCACAGCAAGGTTTCTCACCTTCAACACTAGTGACATTTGGCGCTGGAAAATTCCCTCCCTACCCCTAACCCTCTAGGATGGGGACAGAGAGACTGTCCTGTACTCTGTAGGAAGAGCAGTTCTAGGAAACTTAGGTGCCAGTAGTGTTCATCCCACCTGTGAGTTGTAAAATGGAAAATGTCTCCAGACAATGCCCTGTTTAGAACCTTACTGCAATCATGTACCACCATTATTGGGATTGCCACCTATCCATTCTCAGACACAGAACTGCAGTGACCTCCAGAAATGCCAGCCTTACTACACTCACTCCTGACTTTACACCTTTCTATCCAGCCACATTTCCCAGTCAAGTTAGTTTTTATTTTAGCAAGGTATCTTAAAATTCTTCTTGAAATGAGCAGGTCAGGGGGAAAAATTACAACCAGGAGAAAAATAAAACATATACCATCAAACAAGTAAATGATTAGTGGTGGTACACTCCTGTAATCCCAGCAATGCACTTACAAAGCTGAGGCAGGAAGATCACAGTTTCACAGCCAACTTGGGCTACTTAGCAAATTTGACACTGGCTTGGACAATACAGCAATACTCTCTCCTATAGCAACAACAAAACCAACTGGCAAGTAAATTATCCTATTATTGCTGGGTATGGTGGTATACACCCATAATCCTAGCACTTGGGAGGCTAAGGCAGGCAGATTGCTGTGGCTTCGATGCCAGCCTGGACTACACATCAAGATCCTGTTTCAAACCCTCCCCCAAAAAGGCTTATTTTGGATAAACCTAAAATAAAAAGATATATCCAGGAAAGGGGCAAGGGGTGCACGTGTAAAGTGCCTGGCATATAGCTTCTAGCTAGATGTTACAGTATTATTTATTATTTTATAGCTTAATATAACAGCCTTTAAATTTGGGTATAGGGTAAACTGGTTGAGATGAGTCTTTATACAATTTTACCAAGAACTAGAAGTACAGTTATAAGCCCAACAATCCACAACTAGTAAGTAATGGCATCTTGAACAGTCTGATTTCTTGTCAAAGGCAAATTTCAATACAATACCAACATTTATTAACATACTGAGAATCTTAAACTAGGATGTCTTGACTAGGGGTGATTTGGGCTGGCACCAGTGGGTGCTGGCAATGTCTGGAAATATTTTTGGTTGCCACAACTAGGTGGTGAGGGCAGGTATTTCTAGCATCTAGTGGACAGAGGCAAGCCAAAAGAGTTCTCACAACAGATACATGGCCCAAAATGTTAACAGTGTTAGGGGTGAGAAACCCTACCTCAGAAATCTTGTTTTGGCCAACAATAGAGAAGGGTTCCTTTCTCCCCACAACCCCGCCAATGTTTGTCATTGTGTGATTTCTTGATAGCAGCCATTCTTTGTGGGGTGAGGTGGAATCTCAGTGTTGTTTTCATCTGCATCTCTCGAATGACCAGTGATGTGGAAAATTTTTTCATATATTTACTTGCTGTTTTTACTTCGTCTGAGAAATGTCTGTTCATTTCAGATGCCCATTTTTGAATCGGGTCTTTATATTTGGGGGGGCTGATTGGTTTGAGTTCTTTATATATTCTAGATAATAGTCCTTTGAGGAGCAGCTGGTAAAAATTTTTTCCCACATTGTAGGTTGTCTCTTAGTTCTGTTGATGGTTTCTTTTGCAGTGCAGAAGCTTTTTAATAAGATGAGATCTCAGTTGTTGACTCTTTCTGGTAGTTCCTGTGCTACTGAGGATTTGTTCATAAAATCTTTTCCTATGCTAATTCTTCAAGAGTTCTGCCTAACTTACCTTCCAGCAAGTTTAGTGTTTCTGTTTTAATATTTAGATCTTTTTTTTTTTTTTTTTGTACCGGGGATTGAACTTGGGTCCTTGCGCTTGCAAGGCAGGCCACCGAACCACTGAGCTAAATCCCCAGCCCCAATATTTAGATCTTTAATCCACTTGGTGCAACCACTATGGAAATCAATATGGAGTACCTCAAAGAGCTGGGACTAGAGGTTCCATTTGACCCATCCATCCCTCTGCTGGGTATCTTTCCAAAAGAATTAAAAGAATTGTATCACAGAGATATATATGTGCACCTATGTTTATAGCGGCACAGTTTGTAATAGCTAAAACTTGGAAACAGCCCATTTGCCCATCAGTTGGAAACTGGATAAAGAAGATGTGGTTTGTATAAAATGGAATATTACTCAGCCACAAAGAATGAGAAAATAGATTCATTCAAAGGAAAACGAATACATATTGAGGATATACTCCTAAGAGAAATAATTGACAATGTGAAATAGGAAGAAAGGGGCTAAAGGTGTAGGGAAAGTGGGAAGGGTAGGAGAAAGGTAATAAGGGAAAAGAATGGAAATGAAGTGTTTGTAAAGGGGAAGGGGAGGAGGGGGTGAAGGGAGGGCAGGGACAAGGGGAAAAAATGAGAACCAAGACCTGTGGTGTAAAGGTACAAGATCCCAATAATGAATGTAACTGTACTGTATACCTAAAATGTACCAATAAACTCAATGAGGAAAGAAAAAAAAAATAAAAAGAAAGAAAAAAGAAATCTTATCTTGAGAAACCAGACAGAAAAATGAAGACCAAAGTATGCCTATACTACCTGGGTATGATGGTGCATGCCCATTATCCCAGCTACTTGGGAAACTGAGGGAGGATCAATATTCAAGGCCAGTCTTGGAACTTAGTGACATATCTCAAAGCAGGAAGGAGATGAGAATGTAGTTTAGTCACAGAATGCTTGTCTAGCATGTGTAAAGCCCTGGGTTCAACCCTCACTGGTAAACAAACAAAATAAATATGCCTATATTCTAACAAACACATTTTTTGGGGGGGTGCTGGGGATTCAACTCACGTCTGTGTACATACTAGGCAAGACAAGTGTTCTACCATTGAGCTACATCTCTTAGCCAACCCTGCTCTTTTTTCTTTTTTTTTTTTTTGGTCTTGGGGATTGAACTCAGGACCTTGCACTTGCAAGACATGCAGCCCTGCTCCCTTTTTTAAAAATTTTGAGACAGGTCCTCCCTAAATTCTGAGGGTGACCTTAGACTTGTGATCTTCCTGGCTCAGCCTTCCAAGTAGCTGAGGTTATAGGTGTGCACTGCATACCTGTCTTCCTTCTTTTAACCTCCCCTATGTTAGCTTCCCTATCCACCTGTTTGAACAGATTGTCATCCCAAGGAAGAATGTTGAGTTTTTTCTCCCTCCTTGGACTCTCTGATGACAGAAAAAGTATGCTTGTGCTGTATGAGACAGGAAACATAAATGCATAGTGAGGAAACCAGAAAGTGCAATGGTGTGCTTTCCAAAACATCATGGTTTTTGTTTTTTCATCCAAAGGTAGCACAATTTTACTAGCTACTACCTACAAGTTGGGCTGTAAAGCCCCTACCCAACAGCCTCTACTCCTTCTATCTATAAAGGCCTGCTCAAGAGTGATTCACACCAACATCCTTTCCTTCTGTAGCATAGTAAATTTACCTGAAAGTCTTCCTGACCACTCCATGAGACTAAGGCTGATTTTAGGAGATTTTAAAAGAAAGGAAATTTGAAAGAGTAAGTTTTTAAAAAAATAAACCTCACCTAGATTCTATTTTTTAAATCATAACTTACTGTCTTTCAAATTTCTAAAGCACTTTACAATTTGGGAAGAGTTTTAATGCCTCTATTCCCAGCTGAACTTCACAATCATACAGTGAAGAAGGTAGAGCAGATATCAAGTTCCATCCCAGGACTGCAGGAAAGCTGCAGGTCCACTGTTGTTACTACTGTCAGGCTGGTACATTTGTCAGCTGACTTGGATGCAGACTTTCATTCATTTATATCTGAATAATTGCTTAAACATCTTGATGTACATATGCTTACACAGTATAAATATCTGTCCCAGCCAAGAATGATGTACACGCCTGTAATTTCAGCAGTGTGGGAGGCTGAGGCAGGAGGACCACAAGTTGGAGCCTAGCCTGGGCAACATAGTGCGATTCTGTCTCAAAATAAGAAATAAAAAGAGGACTGGGGATATACATCAGGGAGAAGGCCCCAGTACTGAAAACACTTCCGTTCTACAAAGGAGACTATCAGAAAACAAAGTATATGGCAGAAGGTAGAAGACTAAATGAAGGCTATCATACAAACTGACTTAGGTAAAGCATTTTAAGATAAAAATTCCCTCAAACCTTCACTTATACAAGTAAACTAGTTCATAACAAAGTTTCTTCTCCTGATCCCAAGCACCATAATTTAGAATTTCAAAACTACCCAGTTTTCCAGGAAAAGATCTGCATGATATACATCAGGAAATGCTGTAGGAAATCAAAAGAAGAAATAAAACTATGACTCAAGACTTACATTTTCACATACAGTAAACCTAGTTACATCTTTGAAAAGTATGGAAAAACAGTACAGTCATAACTTTTACACAAAGCACAGCACAGGAACAGAACACAGCACATCCATTTGGATAAAATGGCAGGAATGGCTTCAAAAGAAAGAGGTGACCTCAGGTGGGTCCTGAAAAAATGGGGAAGATGTCATACAAGAAGATGGAAGGAGAAAGCACTTCTGACCAAAAGAATACGATATGATGTGTTCTGTTTGGTTGTAGTATACAGCATCCTGTGATTAAGTTCAAAATGAAAAAAAAAAAACTGCATGTATTAAAAAAAAAAGTCAAAGTGCTATTCTTTCTCGCTCTTTTTTTTTGTTTCGTTTTTGAGAAAGGGTCTCACTGTGTAGTTCAGGCTGGCCTCAAATTTGCTGGGATCCTCCTGCCTCAGCCTCCCAAATGCTGGGATTACAGGCATGTGCAACCACACCCGGCATTACTCTTCTTGCTTTAAAAGAAAACTGTAGCTCCCTCTAGTTGCACTGCGTGGTAGAAATGAGGAACAAGAGTATCAGGATGACTCTGGCAGCAGAGTGTCTGGAGAGTGACCCCTTTGCCTGATGGTGTCTCTCTATGATGCTTCCTTGGATTCCAGTACTGTTAGCAGGGAAAGGGTTGCCCCTCTTCTCCTCTCTCTGGAGAGTAGAGAACAACTCTTTCGGTACTTCCACATATAAAGTAGAACGTTCGAGGACAAAACTGCTGGTTACCGTCAGCCTCTCTGTACCAGAGTCAAGATGGATGAATCCAATCCACCAGGGTAGTGCTCTGGAGCCACTACCACAGAGCTTAAGGACGATCCTCTCCTAAAACACACCTGTGCCCTATCAGGTCCAAACTTGGTCATCCTAATGCCCGTGCGCAGCATTAAACGTGGTGTCTTCCTGGTCCTCCATGAGACCTTGGCTTGAGCCTTCCTATTCCGGGATCAGTCTCCCGAGTGGGGGCACTGTCACCAGCTCCTGACTCCAGCAAGGGCATTAAATGGTCCTCCTGCAGATTCTAGATCTTCACCCCACACTGAAAGGCCACAAGGGAGATACTGCCCGAGTTTCACACCCAGGACAATCTGAGCACATCCTGACCGGATCCAACGGGTGGAAGAACTTGGCCGGAGCCCAGGTCTGCTCCCTGGAGCCGGGCCTTGGCTCCTTCTTGGACCACGGGTGGGGAGCGCGGGGTTCGCACCAGTGCCCTGGGCAAGGCAGACTTCGCGGCAGCCAGCCCAGACAGAGCACGTGCCCCGGAACGCCGGCTTCCCCGCGCGGAGGACAAAGTCCGCCCTTGCCGGTCCCGTAGCTCGGGCACCCGGCACCGGGCGTCTGGGGCAAGGCGGGCAGGGCCCAAGTGCGACCCGGACCCTAATCCGGACCCTGACCCCACTTCAGGCTCTGCCTCCCGGG